ATCAAACTATGACCAACACAAGGGCGGGGGGGTTCTCTCCGTCCCATATCTTGCTTCAAATGAGAAAATGCCACTAAGCAGATTTGCTTAGTTCACTTTGAGAGTACTAAATGTCAAGACATGTAACCAGCTGCTGGATTTGATGTCCTGATCCTAAAATCACAAATCCTAACAGGTGAGCTGCTCACACTCAAGAACAGCACTGGTAAAATTTTTTGGATTTTATTGGTTAAAATTTTATCCATATTTCCTTTCTTGAAGCTGCCGCTGTTAAAAAAGATGTGCAGATTGTTGCAGAGAACGCAAGTGACCATGGCAACAGCAGCGACATGGCAACACTCAGGAGGCAATACCAGTGTCCCATCTGTAACGAGGAGTTCTCCTTCACCTCCTCTGAGATCCTCAAACACAAGAGGATGCATGCCAAGGAGACGTCAAGAGAATGAGATGAACATTCCAAGGCATGTCCTTGTTGAAAAGTGGGTCACCTATCTGTATTGGTGTAGTGTTTGCACCCCAGGAAAAATGGACTCTGTTGCCATAGTGTGCGTGTCTAATTTCACAAAGTATAACATGGCTGAGGATCAAATGTCATACAGGTCAAAATTTCATAGAACACCAAACAGTGCATGTACATTAAATATTTTTCGCCTCTCAAATTTTTCTGGTGGTGAGGATACCTCTTGAATTAGCTCAGCAATATGCAAAGCTGATGTGTGCTCAACAGAGCCACTGATAACCCCCTCATAAATTGTCTGAGCCCAGATAAGGTTCTTTTTGAGCAACGGTTTGGTTACCAACCAAAAACTCATGTGAATTACATTGCTTGTGAATGGTACTCAGTTTACTAACGCAACCAAATTTGACTATTTTCTGAAGTTAGCACTACTCTGAATTTGTTCCTCATTCTTTGCTTATTAAAATATATGTTTTTGTGTTGAAATTTCAATACAGATTGAGAATTTAAAAAATAGTCTGTTTTAATTGTATTTTGTGTAAAATTGAGACTTCTGTGGGTAGACACTGGATGTACCTCAATGTCCCAAAAAAAAAAAAAAAGTGACTTTTTCACAGGCTTGTTATTAACCACTTCACGCCGGGGCAGACTTTACTTTTCCTCTTTTTGCTAGCGGCCAAAAAGTGGCCATCTGCTTTTTGCTCGTCAAAAAAGCAGAAATGTGGATTGAACGTTTTGACAACAACCATGAATTCCACTTTTACGCTTTTGTGATAACGGAGAAGCATATTTACATAGACAGTCGAAAAGTGGCCATCTGCATTTCTGTCCACAAAAGGCCATGAATGGCGTCATGAACCAGTAGGTTACAACCATTTCTGTACTGTGGGAGTGAAAACATAGAAATGAATACTTAACCATGCTTTCTGGGGACAAATCCCATATGGCAGTATCAATGTCCCTGTGAGGCAAAGAAATGGCATCTCAAAGGATATAAACCAGAATAGTTTGACAGTTATCATCCAATAGACACAAAAGCTTGCTTAGGCCATGGAAAACGTGAATCTTTCATTACAAAAGTCATGGTGGACTGTAATTATTGGTTTATACGTCTTCAATCCCCTAGAAAGGAAATGGTCATAACCTATGGTTTACAACCCCGTTCATGCCCTTGGAAGGCAGAAAATCAGATAACCGCTTTTCTGCTTCTCCAGTATGGAAAAAAAAACCCCAGAAAAGTAGAATTCACGGTTGTAGTCAAAGCGTCCAATCTTCATTCTGCCTGTTCGAAAGGAGAAAAGCAGAAGGCCACTTTTGCCAAATCAAATTCATTTTCAAACAAATTCTTCAAGGAAGGTCTACATTTCGATAATTAAAAGGGAAAAAAATTCATAACAAAGCTCTTCTATCAGTTTTCATGACTATCGCTAGTATTTCACGTAAGAAAACTTACAAAAAAGAGGAACTGTTTAGAGTGTTTAGTTCTGTACAGCTCATCCATTGTTATTTTTCACACAAATAATACTAGATTGTGCAACATTTTGGAAAACTGACGAATATTCCTCACTCACATTTAATAGGAATCAAACAAGGCACGACAATCTCAGAGACAACAAGTGGTGATGGATATGTGTATAAAAATCAGGAATAGATTAAAAATGCGAACGCCTGTGGCGTAAATTTTCTCAAATTTGATTTTATAAGAAAAATATACTCAAACAGGCAAGTATATAGAAGTACTTAATACATTCCTTTTTTATAAGCAAAATATCTGGAATTTTAATATATCTCTTGAAAAATCTCATCTATGCTTGAAATTTATGCATTATCTATGAATGATTCTACGAATGAAAACTCAAGATCAGCTGGATGGTTGAATACACTTTGAAACAGTACAAGTTATTCATAATAAGAGGCAGTTTGAAAGATGGCACTATGGTTGCGTTTGATTAGCTTCCCTGAATACATCGGTGTTACACGCAAGGGAAGCCTCGAAATGAGGCTAATCAAATGCTGCAGTGTATTCGCCAAGGCATTCAGGGAAAAAGGTCCAGTCCCCGCCACTTCCATCATGCACGCCCATGCACGAATAGTTCATCCGTGACGTCATTACACTCGGGCAGCCTCCAGAGACCCACTCGCTAGCTGGGGTAGTGGTGGCTGACACCAGGGCAGGCACGAAGATCACGTGATGGCTAAACGAACGCTCTCGTGTAAGTTTGACTTACACGTGTAAGCTAATCGAACGCACCCATTATTGGCTCAATACATCCCATCATTATCAACCAATCAGAGACCGAGAAGAATAGTCAAGTTCATGTACAAACACAATTAGCATATTATCCAATCGTTTACCGTTTCCATTCTTGGCTCCGCAGCACCACTCGCCGGATTTTACCGCTCACTGTCTTTGGTAAGCTCTCCATGAATTCAATCTATCAGTGCAAGAGATGCAACAAAAAAAACAAATGATGTTTTCAGTTGATATTTAGAAACAAAGAACAGGAAAGCGAGTGAATGAGACGTGAAGGAGAAGAACAGGGAGCTTCATGTTAACAACAACTGGCATCTTTTTAAAGATCAATGACATCCCTCCAGTTGGATTCTTTTCACAGTAAGAGGCAAAGTGGAGATCAATTTTTCCTGAGATATATTCAGGGACCTTCCTTCTTCACAATCCACAGAGGCTGCCCTCACACTGAGAGGTAGATTGGTCGGTGTAAAGTGCTCCGGGGCCTCAATGCTCGAGTATTTTCAAAAGCTAACTTGATGAGCATAAAAACCAATGAGGCGCTGTCTGTTCCAACTTTGCAGCTGAAGTGACGTCATCATGCTGCCAATGCCATTCATGGACTCCAGTCCAGCTCCCTTTCAGATCTGTCTGTGACTACAGTGGATCTTACCTTGCGAGGGTACTTGTAAGCTGCCGTGATGTTCTTGACATGCTCTTGTAGTTCCTTCATCAGCTGCTCTTTGTCCTTAGACTTATATTCTTCAGTCAGTACAATGAATGCCTTCACAACCTGTGCACAGGGGTCAGAGTCACATGTGGAGCTTGTTCTTGTCTCTAGCCTTTGAAGGTCCAAGTTCGGTCGTTGCCTTGCCACCATGTGGGTGGTTCTTTGAAACTTTGTCACTTATTTCTGCTCATCACTTAAAAAAAAACTTACTCTTAAAAAACTTTCTTATACTTCATTATTTTTTACTTCCAAAGCTGAAGCTGAGGGAAAGACCATTACTGCTTCGATCACAAAATTGCAAAACCTACCACATCGCTGCCAAACCCAACCAAGTACGACTTACTCCAACCATTTTAAGCCCTGCTAAGCTTTACTCCCCTTTTAACCTCATAAACCCCACATAAACTTAAAACGTAAAGCACTGCTCACCTCTCCCCTAACTGAGTCTGGTGAGGAGACTACCGCTGACTCTGCTACTGCTGGATGCTCAATGAGGGCACTCTCCACCTCAAAGGGACCAATGCGGTACCTGGACAGATTACACAAGAAATTTGAAACTTTTAATTTTAAAAAGGCAGTTACATGCACGGTTACCTACACAAAAATAGGTTAAAAACTGAATACCTCAAAAAAGGAAAGGCTCAACTCCATCATTTCCTTTGCAACTCCTTCCAAAATACTCGTTTGGTTTTTTTTGGGGGGGGGGTTGAACTCAAAAAGGTTTCATTGGAACTGGACCCTTCTTTCAATTAGGTATTCAATTGCAAACCAAAACAAATAAAGAATAAAACGACAAAATAAAACAATGCCAGACCCTGCGGAGGTGATGATGTCATCGCTGCGTCCAACGAACCAGAAATACCCTTCTTCATCCACCAGTGCGCGGTCTCCTGTCAAGTAGAAATCTCCACGGAAAGCCCTAGCTGTCCTCTCTGGATCATCCTGGCATGGAAATAATCCTGTTCACTTAGGACTTCGGACCTGCCCAACCTTTTTCGCAGCAAAGCTTCACTTTCCTGTCGTAGTACTAGCACTTGAGTTCTTTCTGCCATACTTGTGCTCACATTCATGAAAATGTATTAAACCTAGTTTCAACACAGACCTAAAGAGATGCAGAGAGTATCACTGAACTGTCCCCAACAATACGTAATCATATGAGAACACTTAATGGCCACTGACGCAAACATGGATGCAGACAGTCGGTCAAATTGGATCATGTTCAACTTCACTCTGTGTTGTGTTGTTACATTAGGCCCACAGAAGCAAGGTTGTTGGCAGGGTTAAAGTGACCAGTTGATCATGAAAACACAGACAGCAATTCTCACTCTGCTACTGGCTTTGCAATCAATATTTAATCTGCAGATTTCAATCAAGTTTCATTGTGATCAAAATCCAATATTCAGATTTCAATTCGATCAATATTCAACCACCCAGATTTCAATGTCAATTCACTCTGACCAACACAGATGGCTGGCTCAAGCAGGATTCGAATGTGTAACCATCTAAACATCACAGCGGCGCTTTACCAACTACTATCCAGTCCCTTACTAAATGTTTGTTCCAAGAGTGCTCGTATAGAACACGAGAAATCTGCACATGGCCAAATAAGTTATGTCAACGTCACTAGACTGAATCACCTGGCCCCAATGATGAGTGACATAGTTCACCAAGTGCTCATCAACTCACCACATAGTGAGTGAAGAGTCCGACAGGACGGTGGGGCTTGACCCTCACCCCGACGTCCCCTTCCTCACCACAGGGGAGTTCGTTACCGTCTTCGTCCACGATGCAGATGTCAAACCCAGGGGCTGGCTTTCCCATAGACCCTGGTCTGGGCTCCAGACACTTGAACATACCCATTAACAGAACCTGACAATCAGTCAGAGGAAAAAAAATTAGCTGGTCCTTTTCAAACCTCTGCCCAAAATCTTCAGTATCCATCTTTTGAAGGAGTTGGCAGTGGCTCAAATCCCTCAAACTGAATTATTGTGACTTAACTGTTTCTGTCTGGCCATATCCCTCGTGGATCATGGACCCTGTGCCTGCTTTCCAAGCATCCATGACCTCGGGGTTCTGTTCAAGCAAAAAAAGAAAAGGACAAAAAAAGACAGAAGAGATCCTCAAGCTCTGTGGTTAATTGGCTTCAGCTCAAGCAGCCCTTGTTCAACTGACATTACGGTCATTTGTCTAGATCATTTGTCTCAGCACCATGTTTAGGCCCCCACCATACAGATCACCATAAGAATAATGTAATGCATGGTGGAGGTCCTAAATATTTAGGTAAGTAATCCTTCTCAGTCGGTCACAATCATTTATTCACAGACAAATCAACTAACACTAAAGATGTGACGAGGGGATTGAGTCTGTACTTGTTCAGATCCTGACAGAGTGTTGTTGGATTTATGGCAGTACATGTGGTGTACTGATAGGGCATTAATGCAAACGCAGAGAGAAAAATAGCTCAATTTGTGAAAATGTGCAACTGGCTTACCAAGGGCTCCCCGGCGCTGACAATGTGCCGCAGTGACTTGAGGTTAAACTTGGTCAAGTCCTCCAGGACCATCATGCGGTAGGCTGTTGGAGGTGCACACAGTGTGCTTACAGGATACTTATGTAATAGCTGCAACAAAAACACGGGGTTGGAAGTCTCTATTGATTCTCAATCTCCACAGACTCTAATTCAAGTAGAAATACCAACAAGCAACCTACACCTCATAGAAAAAAGGCAAAAATCAAACCAAGAGAACCGCAAATGACGAGAGAGGCTTTGGAGACTGATGTTTCATGGCTCCTCACCCACAGAATGGTCTTCCAATAGCCCTCAGATCAAACCGGATGTGTCTTTCAAATCATGTCTCAAGACCCATCTCTTCATTCAAGCTTGTGAGCAGATATCTCAGATCTTAGCAAAGTTAAAAGGTCATCTAGATACCAGTATCTTACAAGTTATTATTGTGTGAAGAATTCAAAGAAAATGAAAAAGAATAACACTTAGCATTTGAAAGGTTAACAAACCAAGAAAGCATGAAATTCATGCACGAAAACCTTTGTATTTCCTCATAAATGTTAGATCTCAACACAGCTCGGTAACAAGTAGCTGCAAATCACAAACACTGATTAGCAATCTTGCTTGCTTTACAAACATTCAGGAGTCATAGTCAATGAGACGCCAAGAATACAGCAGTTTAGCTTCGCAGAATAAAGCATTCAATCTGTCACCTCTCAAAATCATTCTTATCAACTCGCTCATAAAGTTCCTTCATCCGCCCTGAGCAGAAGCTCCTCATCGGTTGAGAAGACCCATGTTGGTTGGGAATGTTCATTTTGTTGGTGCATATAGCAATGCGACTGCAGTGCTTGTGTTTTTGTAGTCTTGTGGGAATCAGCGATGCGCAGTTCCTACCAAAGGAGCCTCCATTGCTAGGAAAATTGCACACACTCTCTTGGTCCAGCTCGGGGCCCATTGTAGAATGTTGAGTAACATCTCGGCAATGGTTAGGTCGTCTTTATTGCCACTAACTAACTGCTCTTACAATCCTGGAACTTGTAAGTCTTCAAAACAACACTACACCAACCTCCAGCGTGTGGGCTGCATCAAACTTTGCCGTGTAGCTGATGAAGACGCATGCCCCCTGGACCCAGGGAGCATAGAAGTTACTGTAGGCCGACTTGGCCCAGCCTGTGTCCGAAATATTCCAGTGGACGTCCGTCGGAATGAGATCCAACCAGTACCTGAGAAAAAGATTTGTACACGTTACAGGTAAAAAAATCACCAGAACCGGCTATAGGTGATGCCTGAATTCAAAAGTTAAACCTGGCTTTCGGGAATTACCTTGGCTAAACGTTTCCAGTGTTCACAAAAGACGACCAACCTTCTACCGCTAAAAAAGCCTAAAAACAAATGTCAGAAGAACTTTGCCAACTAGAGCTTCTTCTGGAGAAATCTATCAGGTTTAGTCATTTGTAAGGAACATTTGCCAACAAAGACTGTAAACTGAAAAACATAAAATGGGCAGATTTGGTGATACTGACCAAAACAGCATTTGCAAATGGAAGAAACTCATGAAATTGGTCCTGTCTGTAATGGTCTCAAGTTTAAATATAGTGCATGTTCCAGCTGCAGCTGGTGCGCCTGGTAACATGCACGAGACTCGTCTGACTTACTTTCCTGTGATGATGTGACCGAGGCCGTAGCTGGCATGGGTGTGGACAGCCAACTTCGCCTTGCCCGTAGTCCCACTGGTAAAGAACATTGTCATTGTCTCATTACTACCAGTCTTGACGCACTATGGTGAGAATAATCCAAGATAAGCACATTTCAAGACTGAAGCACAGTAAATATACCTAAAAACTGCATTCACTCACCAAAAATGTAACAGCTTAGGGCAAATTAAAAAAAAAAACTGTGCAGGATTAGCAGAAATAACTCCATCATGAAAAGACCGTATTCTCATAAAAAAATTTTCTTATGCATATCTTTTAAACAATTACGACTTAACAAGTTGCTGTCATTTACAAGTCACCACGAAGAGACAGGAAGGTTTTCAAAAAAGCTTTAGTCACATGGCAAAAATCAGGGCAAAACACAACTAGGGTTCAAAGGTCAATTCTATGAATGACATACCTGGTGTTGACCATCAGCCTTTTCAAACAGGTCATTATACTCCAGCCAACCAGGCCTGGACTGACCACTGTTACTGACGAGCAGCCTAGATTTCACACCAGGACACTCAGAAATGTACTGCATGCAACGAGGGAGACAAAATGTACACGGCTAATAATTAAATGAACATTCACGACTGAAACAGAATACCGCTTTAAGTTACATAAATACAACAAAAAGATCTGGCATACTCATTTTCCACTTCATAATAAACTTTATACTAAACTTCGAGACTGCAGAACAAAACTTGGGTATTTTAGTTGGTACAGGATCAATGTACATTATATATATAATACTTGTATTCTCTAAATGCTAGAATTTCAAATCCTGCCCAGAGCAATTTTTAATGTAAAACCCATCACCAAATCCAAGTAACTGACAGACACCCTGAAATTCAAGATCAGATTTCCAACTAAAAAAAAAAATAATGCCACTGTTTTTGAATTTAGAAAATCGATGAATAACAATTAATGTATATTTATAACATTGAGCAAATGTAAATCGATAGATCAACAAAGTCCTTCCACTCAATTCATACACCACTTAATTGAAATTAATTTTTTATAGGTCTGAAGAAATCACAGCCTGATGGAAAATGGGACAACATTTAAATTTCTACCGAGAATTTCTACCTCATCCACCAAAGGAGCAGTGTGGTCATCCGTGACGATACAAGAAGTTCCCGAGGCTAGCAGACGGTACTTGATATCCCGCGCTGTCAGCTGGGTGGTGCCAGGGATTAGGATGGTACCTGAACCCAAGGCAGGGAATACCACGAACCCATCTGTTAGCCTTGGCCTTCTAATGCGAAATGCTCAGAAAGCCCCAGCCAATTCCTTAGATTGGATACGCGATGACTCGCCAAGTGTGTGTGCTTTCAACATGACATTTAAAAACAATGTACGTGCACTTAGTTTGCTGCTAACATATCAATTTAATTGCCGTGTTGATAGCTAAAATTCCATTTCACTGAGAACAAAAGTTACGTCATCTTGAGCCGTAACTTCAGCATCACTGCAGCTCTTTGAGTTCAAAATTTGTCCGAATATTTTTTGGCAGTTGTTGAGATAAAATGTCAGTTTTTGTGTTACTTGAGAATCCATCAATATTGTCTATTGCAACTATGAGGATCTGGCTGATTAAGATTTAAAACTTTTAATAGAGAGACCAAATTATGTTAGCTGAAATCTTCATTGGAGCAGTTTTGAAACAGGCAGCTTTTGCTTAAAAGTCGAGGAAAACAGAAGAAGTGTCATTTCAGAATATATCCAGGGCTTGTTCATCAGATTATGTTCAGCTCTTCTGACCTGTTCGCAAGCAGGCAATATTGAGAAGCCACCACTCTGGAATCCTGGGTAATATAACCATCACCGACTCATCCTTGGCTAAGCCACAGTCGTTGGTGAGTATGTTGGCAACCCTGGTTATCAACAGTAATGTACAGGGCATAAGTAATCAAAGTAAATCTGATTAATCTAAATTAATGTAATTCCGACAGCTTATTAGTTAGTGATTCCCATGGCTTTTTAAGTAGAGATCTGAAAGCACAATTCATCAAATATTTGAAATGGACATCAAAAGAGCCATTTCAAACCCTATTCAGTCAAATTCAGCGAAGTTGGCTGAGAATCTGTCTTTTTGTTGGCAAATGTAAGTTGTCTTTCAGTGAATTGTGGTTTTTACTGATATGTGAACAAAACAAAATAGTCACTGAAGTAGGGTTTAAATGTGGTTTGAAAGTCCACAATACCATGAAGTACTGAACAAACTAACTCATCCCCTCTTACGTCAGGTGTCCCCCACAGGGGAGGGGAGGGGGGGACCCATATTACTCATCTAAGAAACAGCAGTTGATGGGCAGCTGCAAAGGATAAATATGATAGAAAACTAATAATGCACACTTATATCATGCCCTTTCTTCCCTTACTTCATTGACTTGTTTTTGAGATCCAGAAAACTCCATTTGATTTCATTTCCGTGATCGTCGACCCACCACAAGGCTGGGGTCTTAGAGCTCCTTGTGCCTGTCTGTGGAAAGAAAGGACCGAGATCAAATTTAATCAAGCATGCAACAGAGAAGTCAATGATGGTCCTTTGGTGGGACTCATTGCATTCGCACATAGGTTCATGCACATTTGGTATGAAATCTGCCGAGCACACGCAACCAATCTCTGTTTGAACAAACAGAAAGCCAAAATTCACCTTTTTCCCTTTTTAAAATCTACAAATGGGGTTGTCAATCAGGGACCAATTCCATGTAGCTGAGGAGCACAAGAAATATGCTAAGTACAGGAAATATCTGTTTGGCAGAAACAAATTATCAGCCAAAGTTCCAAGCAAAATTTATTGCAAGAATGGTTTTCTGCTCATTTTAGCTTACTCAAATGCATGCTAGGTCATTCTCTCTGCTTTAACATAACCTTAAATTGGCTTCAGTATATGATTCAGTTCATGAAACATCCGGTACTAACGACCATTTCTGCACCTGTTCCTTTGCTGCCCATTCATCGAGAACATCACTTGCAAAATTGAAATATTCTGGCACGTCTAATTTAAACTGACGTCTACCCAGTTCATAATCATTGAAACCAGTGGCTGACAATGCAGACAGGAACGATCTGATTGGCTGGTAGTGCACTGCTTGTGATGGATGAGTTCTCCTTGTACTGCATGGAGTATAGCTTCTTAGTATACTGTAGGATGCCCCAAGCCTCCTTGAGTTGGAGCGCAGTAACTGAATGCCTCGGTGAAATTGTCCAATGCTTAGGAGCTGGTATGGCTTCAATACTGTTGCCATTTTCTTTTATTCCAGGTTGTGAACGTCAGGTACGGGAATACTGGTGGAGTACCTCCACGTGCCTGCTTCTAAAAACCTCTTGACCTAAAACAACAAAAATACAACAACCTTAATTGGATTTGCATCAAATGTGAATAAACTGGAGGGGGGATATGAGTATCTCTGATTTGCATGATGTTGTAAGAGAAGCAATAGATCCTTGGCAGACTGAAAGCATCGACAAGTATTGCAGAGATCCTGGTACTGAAGGAGAGATCTAGCAAGGCCACCGCTTGACAGAAATTATCGGCCGAGTAAATGAGTGATTTTATGAGTCAAATTAAAACAAACTGAGGCTTGATAAGCTTCAGTTATATCAACATATTTTGGAAGCAGAGGGTTCTGAACTGTAACTTTTAAATAAATAATAAAAAATAACACTGATTGCCAAATAAATTGATTTTTAATATTATATAATGCAACACCACAAAGGAAATGCCTCAGTTAAATAATGCTCCAGTATTCTTATGTGATACATTTTTTGTTATTACAGTGGTTGTAATTAATACTCAATTTAACAAAGCTACACTAATCCGCAAATGCTTCCAGTGACAGAACAAAGTTCCTCATCTCTAATGACTTAATAATAAGGCACAGGTACTTTGTGTAAACCCTCATCATTACTGTACTGTATTACTTCACCGGTTTACTCGACAGCCTTCAGAAATAGAAACAAAAAATACACATCACACTTCAAACAACTCTAATTTCCAGGCACCAGAAATGTTGGTTCAGCATCATTAGCTTTGATGACCACTGTCGACTCATCAAAGCAGATGCAGGTAGAGTTACATAGGGTGGCACGCACATTTACCGTACAGGGCTGCCACCTACACAGTGAGGCTCTGCATGAGACAGCCTACCTGCAATTTGACAGCCAAATTTCCAGACCATCCAAGCTATCCGTATTGCTTTTAAGCCGTAACATTTAAGAAGGTGCCCACCTGACGTACCGCACAGGATTCTAACAGTCGGCAAGAGCCAGGGCCACTACTACGGAAGACAAACAACAAAGATGGCAAATGTGGAAGCCCCAACTCCAAACCCAACTCCAGTCCCAACTCCAAGTCGATGGAGGTAAGCTTGGTGCAACGATAATATTTCATCGATCTGATCGCTGTGGCAATGGTGTATTAACTAAAAGGATACCTTTATTTATATTGAAAAAAACCCTCAATGTAAAATGGCAGAAGTGTGACTAGTGGGCAAGGTTGTAGGTCTGATATCCATTTGGACAAATGGTATAAAGTGGGTATGGCCATTTTACAACTGAATGCGTACAATCTGTGCGGTACCTGAATTGGACAAAAAAGCTACATGAAGAATTTGGAAGGCAAATAATGCTGTGGCTTTCGTAGTTTCACCAAATGAAATCTTTCTATAAATTACCAAACACAATCTAAATTGACCCTAACGGTTCTGAATTCTCAAAGATTCTGGTGCAACGATTACTCGAATAATTAGTGTTTGCATCAACATAATTTATAGTGTACTACAACGGAATAATTTTCAAAGTGGGAGGCGGGACCAGTTATGACTGCGACCATCAGGCAGCAGCCATTAATATACCAGTTCAATAAGCCCCATTCCAGTACAGGACCTGCAAAAAGTGCGTGGGGGCTTCCCCCCCCCACGCGGAAAAGCTGCAATGCCCATCGCTTTAATAGATTCAAACTAGCCACTGTAGCTGACCTCGACAAGCTCAGTGGTTGATCAGATAAGACATCTGCTCTAGTGTACTGGATGTCAAGGGGTTGGAGTCTGATCTTAAAGTGGGATTGTGCTTTTTTTTTCTCACAAACTCTCAGATACCAACAGCCACAATGCAATAAATTAGGGTAGGAAAGAACAGCAACCTACCGCTTCATATTATACATGTACATGTATATCTCTTTAATGCAAATGCCATCATTGAAGCCAACTATTAAATTTCACTGTGTCATTAATACTGCTATACTTGTATACGTGTATGCGTCACCATTAAAAATAGTTCAATGAATACACAATCACTGTTCTCTACATTGTACATCTGGTCATATAATCTACATGACTTACATGTACAGTGTATGTATCCACAACATCATTATTCTTTTATCTTTAACTGAAAATACAACCTGCAAATTCAAATTGATTTAAAGTAACATATCTTTTTAATTTAATAAACTTCACATATCATATCTTTGTGTAATTTTCCTGAGTTTTATATATTTTTTTGTGCATATATATCATAGAAATGGTTCAATACACGATATTGAATGGGCCATGGATATACCAGTCCATGTCCATGTACACGATGCAAAACCAATAACTGTTGTATACATCCTATGCATTATGCAACACCATAACCTTGGGGTTTGTCTTTTTGAAAAAAAAGACTACACGTACATGTACATGGACTTTTATCTTTTATTTCTTTCTAGTGGCATATTTTATATAGCTGTGTGAGGGCTTCAGTACGTGGTTAAGGTCACCAGGATTGATGCACAGGCAAATTTCTTTGGTGTTTTTGTGATGTGTGGTAAAACTCAATCTGTTGGTTCAGAGACTGGGATGATCACGATGAAGTCAGTCATTCACTTGAGTCTGGACTTGACATTGTCTTGCTATGGGGGTCAAAAACAACCGGTGGAGCATCAGGATCCAGGCTCACAGAGAACGTACATGTATGTCGGAAGGTGACCCTGGGAACCTGTCCAAAAGGCCTGGATAGTCTTTGAATACTTAGGCTCATGCAGCGTCACACGAGACAGTGGCAGACCATGTTAGATAACAGGACTACACAAAGGCAAACTGTCAGTCGGAGGATGGCATTCAATTGTGCATCGGTGATGAGGAAGTCAATCTTGTGCTGGGTCTATGATGGTTTTATGAGACATAAGAGTGAGGCTAGTCCCACTAAATGAAGTTCATTTCCTCCATTTGCTACATTGTTGATTCGGAATGGTTCATGGACTTGCATGGTGTGATGATATTATGTAGCCTCATGGAAAGGGGATTGCAATGTGCACCAGTGACAAGTTAAAGCATTGGTGTTTGTGCTTCATCTTGATTCTGCTGGGGCACTGGAAGAGGCTGACAACATTTGGGCCTATTTGTCTTCGAGCTGCATCGATCAAGTTTGTCTTTGGGTTAAGCACAGAGAGATTGCTGGATTGCTCATTATGAATGCCACACAGGCCTTTCCTGGCCTAAACACCTCAATGAGACTGGCATCATAGTGACAGTCAGTTGTGAGTGCTCCTGGTGCTCCTAAATAGTCAGTGATTGATCCACTGGACTGGCGGTATCACCTACTGAACTGAAATCAAGAGATGCTGGATGGTATATGAAGGCTTTGGTTTCTCTAGCCTGTCAACTAAATTCCTGGTTAGCAGCTTCATTTGGTATCTTGGGAGCGAAAGCACTGATCAACTTCTAAGTTCGTGAGCTGACAAGCCGAGTTTGGTATGGCCATTGTGAATACTGTATCTACGATATTGTTCGCCAGGAAGTATTTGCTGAGATGATCAGTATACGGTGTACACCATCCATGCCTTTTTCTTCTTAAAAAGCTCACCAATATTGCAGAAAGTGGTCATAGTGCTGGTATATATCTCCAAACAGTTTTGGTACCCAAACAGTTTTGGTACCCAAACAGTTTTGGTACCCAAACAGTTTTGGTACCCAAACAGTTTTGGTACCCAAACAGTTTTGGTACCCAAACAGTTTTGGTACCCAAACAGTTTTGGTACCCAAACAGTTTTGGTACCCAAACAGTTTTGGTACTTACTGGCACTTTAGAGAATGTTGTTGATTTCCAGACCAACATACCGCTATGTTACATGCAGACACAGGAATAGCCCTATTATACATGTAGGTGATTTACACTGGGATACCAGCATGCACCTGTGCTTCAAGGATTAGTGACAAACAAGTGATGGATACTGTTACAAAAATACATGAAAGGTGTGGTCAAAAGAATAACGATCGATATTTATAGAGGAAATTGTACACTGTGGCTCAATGACCTTTCAGGAACTGTTGATGTCATTCTTGGCATTTTCATATTGTTTTTCATAATAACTCTGCTTCAGTATTTTATGTATTTTAAAGAGGACGTAGATACTTGTTAGGATGGGAAATATATTTCCAATACGGCTGAATTGCATGATGGATGGATAACCTGTTAGCCCGGGGGGGGGGGGTTAGGAGTTAGTTTAACTTAATTACAACTCTTCATGGGAATGAACAAAAGCTGTATCTGCATCACGTCTAGAGAAAACTAAAGACCAGTTTTATTTTTTTGAATATTCATGTGTGTGAACTCGGTGAGAATCTGGGCTTGACATGTTCAGTGGGAATGAAGTAAAAAGTGGAAAATGATCAGATGTATTGTCACTATTAAAAATGCCAGAATTCAGAGGTGGAGACAAATTATGAAAAAATAGTACCAATAAGGGTGTCAGAATTTTGAGTTAGTCCAATAGGCTTGTGTGGCAAAACAGGGGTAAGAATGACTGCCAGTCTAGCCAATTAATTATCAATGCAGGTATTGACCAATCAGCAGTGCACATGGTGCAAGGTCTGGGTGCTTGCAGCAAGCTGTTGGGTTCACACAGTTTGTTCACTGGAAGGTCGGATAGAGATAAAAATTGCTAGAAACGCTGTGGAGGGCACTGTGTGCATTGGGATGAGCGGTAGGTGGAATAGCATTTCAGTAAACTAAGGAAAGAGTTCCATACACTGACACACTTATACCCTGTGGACATGGTGGACAAACAGGGAAAACACTGAAGCATTTTTGTAGAACAAACCTGGACAATTTTCTCACTCCCAGATTCATGTCTTATCAGCATGGGCCATGAAAAGAGCAGACTTGTCTTGTGGCTTGACTAGGCCAATAAAATTGGATTTATTGTTTCTCCTCAGGATATTTTCAAATTCAGATGCAGGTTTTAATGTTCATTATTTTGTAATGGAAAAATAATACCCTTTTTGAATTCATAAAGAGTTATTGGGTACCCCGCTACCTGGGCTAACGAGGTGCCCTCGAGCATTCAGGCTCCACATTTTTTGCATTCTGATGACTGGAATTGCCGGAATGTAACTTTCGATGTTGGGAGTTGAATTTTCAGTCCAGATTTGCCTTTGTTTTTCCAAAAATAATGAATCATGAAATTTGTTTTGGTTGTTGGGCCAAAATCACAGGCAGGCACTAATGCGAAATAATAAATCTAATTTCATTAGCCTTAGACTTACAAAAACCACAGAGCAAGGACAAGAAAACTGACTTGTGACTTGACTTGGACTTGCAAAAAACTCACCTGGGAAAGAGACAACACTAATTTTCCCTTTATTTAATTAATTAATATTATAACAACCATCAGTCTAAGAAAGTGATTAACATGTCTTAAAAAGTGAAAATTAGCAGAGAAAATGCTGTACCCCCGAGATAACCAAGAGATTTGGTAGTGGGAAAGAGGTAAAAAAAACTCTACCCCTAGCTGCCTAGCCCCACTAGTGTTGCACGGACTCTCACTCCCGGGAGTGAGAGTCCGTGCCACGCTAGTGGGGTATCCTACCCCCAGAAAGGTGGGGTCCGACGTTCGCGGGAGCGGACGTCGGATCCCTAAGTTCTGAGGGTACGACTACTAGGAAGAGCCTACTTCACAAGTTCATGAACAAGGCAGCACCCGTGTGCACAATACATGTACACACACCCACGTACAAGTAATATGGGCACGGGTACTATGACATGTATGACGTTACTGAACTCACCTATTCTTTTCAGTGGGAAAACCTAGGAGCTTCCAGAACCAGCTTTACGTCCGAAGGGTTCAGTGCCGAGGGACAGTCCCCATCTTAATCTGATCATGGCTAAAATAGGCCTAGCTCTCTAGACTATGGCTTGATTATCTGGCCCAACCGATCTGCTGATCTGGCCCGAGCTAGTTCACGACCTCTGAGCTAGCTGCAAAGATCATTTAAGTTTTCGTACGTGTGCAGCATGCAAGTTATACAGTACAGCCGGTTGCAACACTCAGCACCAGTGTGTATGTGTTTTGTACATGTGACGTCTGGATACCAGTCGCATGAACTGCCATGCTAAGTTTTAGAGACAGTTTGTTTTGGACCCCAGTTATCGTGATTTCATCATTATTTATCCCTGTGCAACGGTGTCTGCATCCAGCCACATTGCCTTTCTTTGATTTTGATTTCATTCGTTCATGTTGAAGCTTGTGAGTACTACTTGCTGCATTTTCAAATGTTTTAGTATCTTCCTTCCTGACTACGCCGTCTACTGCGGTACATTTTTATGTGGGGACGTGATCGTGGTGATTGTTGTATGGAAGGGGTGTTAGCTTGGGAAGTACGCAGTCTAGTACGCGTAGGGCTTGTCAAAAAGATCTCTCGGAAGAATCACTCCTCAATTTCTAACTGCAGTGTTGCATTTAATTTTGTTCTCTTTTTTCAAAATAAAACCTAAATCTTGCTGTTTAGATTACTAAATTAGGGCATGTAGCGTTACATTAGGGCCTGACATGCCTGAGGGCCTTACGTGTACGTTGTTTCAGACTGATTTTTATTTGGGGCATGTGGCTGAAGCTCTGAAGCTTAATTCTGAGGTCATCAAAGGTCCTGAATTTGGAAGACTTTTTGGTTGTGTTTCCAAAATTGAAATGTTGAGCCTCACTGCTCTTCCAGAATCTCACCAGAACATTTCCGTTTTCATATTATACCTAGGTCTAACTATTGTTGGTGTACCCATAGAGCAAGATTTCTTGCTCTATGGTGTTCCTTTACATGGTACAGCCCTAAGTTAATGTGGCATTCTTTGATTTTTTTTTTTTGCCTCTAGTGCCTTAATTTTCTTACAAACTTGTGTGGATATGTGACTGTGGGTAATCAGGATTTATCAGCATTCATCAAATTTCGTATTTCCCCCTTTTATTTCAGTGTCTCATGGTCTTATTTAACATTCTCGCTTGTAGTCATAAATCTTTCATTTATTGACCTTGTGTATAACTTGATATATACATTGCAAAACAGAAGTAAATGTTGAGTCAATAAAAAACAATTTAAAGAATTTGTCAGTGTTTTCACAAAGTGACAATAACTGGGATAATTGATAATATTTTGGTCTAGAATTTTTCCCACCATTTTACTTTCTTTGACCCAAAGAGGTTTAGCAACACTGCATGCGGTAGAAAGTTGAGGGAAACGTCGAAGTGTGCCACATTGGGGGACTCAACTATACAGCATTAATTGTTGGAAATTGTTCCATAAGTGACAATACCAAGAAGTTAAAAAGGAGGGTTTTCAGGGGCGGAATGGAAGGAATTTTTGGTACCCATGGAAACAGTTATGGTAAACTTCTTGGTGTTAATGATACTCCAAAATTTATGAGGGTCCTTCGTAGATTTCTGTCCTAATTGTATATTTGGTGGCAACAATTGCCTGTTTTCTCACTTAAAAACCCCTGAAAAATACTGCGGAATTCCTAATTGTTATCATCATAATATTGCACATGCAGTAGGCTTCTGAGACGATCAGTAGACGGGACTCCACCCCAAGATCCACTGACCATGGCCGACTTCATGAAGGTGGCCAAAGCCAAGATTGATGCCTCAGCCAGCAACTTGAATGCATTGAGCCAGGAGATTTGGTCCCACCCGGAGCTTAACTTCAATGAGCACCACGCCCATGAAGTGCTGACGGACTTCCTTGAAAAGGAGGGATTCAACGTGGAGCGCCACTTTGTGCTTGAAACGGCTTTCAGGTAGGCAGTCCCTCAGAGTTTGAACTCTCAAGCCCTTCAAAACCCTTTTAAGGTTGGCCTTTCTGATGTTGGTAGTCATGTTGAGTCCAATCAGACAATCTGCATTATCCCTAACCCCCTAAGGTGTGTGTAAAATCGTATTAGAATTGGAGGATTTGGGAGTGTTAGGGTTATTGGGTGATCAACGTACATTCTGGCCATCACGCTGCACAATCTGTCAGTCGATTTGCTATTAAATTGCCCTTTTATTCTAATTTAAGATTCTCAGATATTATTTTAAAAGTGCAGTGTTATTAATTATTACGCAAATCGACTGATCTGGTGAATAGTGATATGATTACCCTTTGTTTTATCAGAACTCTACTGTAGCACAGTTGGTCAGACAGTATTTTAAATCCCTTTTTACTGACAAATTTTAAAGTTTTGATTATTTGTCATTGCAATAAAAATTCACATAATTCCCTTTTAGCCAGTTAGGTTAGGGAGTCAGGTTAGCATAGTGGTTCTTTCCTCGCCGTAGCTTGGGTTCAATTCCTGGCCCGGTCCACATGTGGATTGGGTTTCGGTCCCTGCCTGATTCCGTGGGTTTTACCCAGAATATTCCTCTGGGGTTTTCCTCCCACCTCTAAAACTGTAACTGCTTCTCATTGTCTCCTCTCCACAGGTTTCTTCAGGCATGCAAACTACAGTCCCGAGGGCACCTTTTAGGAATTCTTGGTGTCATTACCAGAAATAAATAAAAAAATAATAAAAATAAACTTTCAAAAATTATAGCATTATTTACCAGTGCCATCTGTCCACTTAGGTCTGTAAATTTTTATGTGACAAGTACCTAGATACATCTTTATTCAGGTTATTTGCCGCAAACCTTTGGGAATTCTGAATCAAGCTCTCTTGATCGTCAGTTGCTCATAGAAATGAAATAAAACAGCGCATCTGCAAATTTTGCATCAAGTCATAAAATAACTGGTTCGTTTCAAAGAGTTTGGCGTTTTGTTATGAAATTTTACAGTTTTGAAAGCTGAACAATTGCCACAGTGGTTAATTGAAATTACAGTTCAGTTTATACCAGTAATTGATCATTTGAGAAACTGGTACCCTGTTTTCAGTGAAACCCTTGAAGCATCCACATAACTGTTCCCATTTGATTTGTTCGTAAAGCAGATTTTTAAATTTGAAACACTCAACACAAATTGTACTTGCATTGCTCAGGGATATCTGTCCTTTGTTTTGATTCATAGGGCAACGTTTGGTTCGGACAATGCAGGTCCCAACATCTGCGTGATCTGCGAGTATGATGCCCTGCCGGACATTGGCCATGCCTGTGGGCATAACCTGATTGCAGAGTGTGGCGTGGCTGCAGGGTTGGGTATCAAGGCTGCACTTGAAGCCAGCGGAAACAAATATGGAAAGGTCAGAATTGAGTGGTTTTGTTGCACCTGGCATTCCTGAGGATGTGAAAGATTTTCAGGGTACAGAAATCTTAACTAAGTAAAACAATGCAGTCTGATTTGAGTTGACAGAGTTCACGTGACTGATCTCTTTAGAAAAGAGAAAATTATCGACAGGGTCCACTCCTACATTACAGATATGTTTTTGCCAAACAGTGGTGAGTAAAGCTGTGGCTGGCCAACAGAACAAAGTCAACAGAAGAATTTCAGAGGGTTGAAAAAGTAACGGGGCTGGTACATTTTGAGGTAAATCCTGACACAAGCTAAGGGTCATATTCTGCTGATCTTGGCCACCCAAACAAGTAATATAAAGCAACATGAGAAGAATCTTTGGACCTTGTAGCAGATGCGTGCATGTTTCTTCCTAGTGACAACTGTAGGAGGGAAAAAGGGTTCGATAAGAGTGTGCTTCCCTCCTTGCAGTATTCCTTGGCCGTTATGCAAGCCTCCTCTGTGTTTGGACCCAGTGCAGACAGCACAGGACTTCACAATGATATGACACTTTGAAGGAAACACATGAAGCGGATACAACTTATAGCTATGGCTGTGACTTTGTCACTGATTATATCACTGTTTCATATCAGTCTAGAGGAGTGTCCAAATTTTGAAGTACATGTACATTTAAAAGACATCTTGAGATTTGTTGGGCCATGATCATCAATTCCTCTGTCCCTCCCCCCAAAAAATCTAATCTCACAGAGGGTAATATGATGTATCTGGAGAGGGGTTGCTTCCAATGAGAAGAAGGAATTTCCTGACCAAATTCTTCTTGAGGATCAGCTCATTCTCACGTATATTGTAATTAGATCTTACTGCTCGTAAAGACCACAACGAATTTCATCGTATGTTTATGCAGATGACAATAAATTCAAATCCTCTGGGCCAGGTTATCAGATTTAGAGACAAATTGTTCAGATATGTTGAAGGTACATTGTAGACTTCTTCCGTCCCTTTGCTAAATTGTTACGAACTCTTGTAAAATGTTGTTCCCAAGCTTCTGTTTACATTATTTTTCAGGCCATCTCCATCTTGGAAAGGAAAGACAGCGTACTCACTTTTCTTTTCTGGCTTACTCTCAGGTGACCGTGTTGGGGACACCAGCTGAAGAGGGGGGTGGCGGCAAGAGACTTCTCATCAAGGCCAATGCTTTCACTGGCATTGCTGTGGCCATGATGGCCCACCCCTACCGATACAACGTACCCCGCCCCATCGCTTTGTCAATGACAACGTAAGGCTAATTTTGATAAATTGTTTTGAATGACTTTGTCACAGGAGTGCCACGTTTGATTCTGCTTTTTGATTTCAGAGTTCTTCTGATATTTTCAGGAATTTATTTGTATTTTGGCTAAAAACTTGAGGTGACTTTTTATTGATATGAAATTAATCTTTAATTTGTCACCTGATTTCAACTCATCTAAAGTCCCTGGGCATTATTTTGCTGAGCTCTCTTTCAATCTATGAGCAAGTAAGAACAACAACTACAGTAGAACATCATTATAACGAGCACTGCTATACCGAACATTCGGGTGTACCAAACACCCCCCCTTGGCTCCCGAATTTTCTATACGCTTTTACTGAACATTACAAATTTGTTTTGAATAATACAAAATAGAACATTTAGAACTGATGATAAATAGTTCGAAGTTGGCAAAAATCGCACTCACGACAGAACAACGGCTAGCAAGTTGCGCAATCTGTATTATTAGCGCAATGAATATTGCATACTGCCACATGCCACATTTAAACAAATGTGCAAACACCAGTGTTGTAGTTCAGACCAGCTAAGACCACACAAGACCTTTGGTCTATTCATGTGAACTGCAAAAACAAAGCATTCCTTTGTCATTGTTCACCCTTTTACTTGTGTCTGGTCTTGTGACTGGTCTTGTGATGTCTTGACTACAGCACTGACAAACACTACCATCTGTTACTTGACTCAAAGAAATTTGTGGTAAATATTGTGACGTGACAGAGGGCGCAAGTCACGAGGCGCGGTGCAAAGTTATAGATGGCGCTCTGCCCAGTAACAAAGGCAGATGTTAGGCGCGCATAGCTGTGTGTTAAGCAAGTGCAGCGCATAGGCTCCGCCTTGTGTGTTGTGCGATAGGGCAGCGGAAGTCACTGCTTGGTCACGTGAGTGCGTGCGCAGGCGTGGTCACAGCAGAGCGAAGGCTATAAAACACGCACGCAGGCTAGGCCTAGTCGTCCTGATTAAGGGCTGATCCTGAGGTAAGGGTCGCGAATCCTGTGCAAGGGTTAAAGTCACCTAGCCTAATGTGACTGTGCCTAAGTCCGAGTGGTGCATGTGTCGTTGAGGGGCTCGGTAGGTTGAGGGGCTGATTGGTGGTGCGGTATAGTTCCTGATAGGAGCTTGCGGTCGATGCAAGGGCAGATTGCTATCTCGTGACTTGAGTTGCGTGTAGCGCAGCCCTGACAATAAGCCCCTTAGACTTGCTAAAGTCCCTGATTCAGCACTGGATGCCCACAATTGATTGTGGTGTTCGCTGCTCTGGGCGAAGTCCGGTCAGGTATAATCACACAGTCTCCCCGTCAATAGCACCCTCTACTGGTGTATTGGTTGAGTGTGTTGATGAATAAACCAGCCGCTTGTTAATTGTTGTACATAAGTCAGGTGTCCAGGCGAAGTATATTTCAAGTCAGGTCTGTCTGGGTTACGTCATTAAGTTTTGACCAATCAGATTAGCCATCATCTCGACGAAGACCAACTTTCTTGGGGGACGGTATACTTCGGTTCCAACAGACTCGTCCCTAGCTGCTCAAGGACTCTTCGGCGTGCCGTCTGGCGCGCCGTGCCTCGAGAAGGAGGGCGCCCTCGCCTTCGTCAGAGGGGCGCGGCACCACAATATCTTACACATTTTGATAATTTTAGAAAATACTTGCCTGACATTTCGTTGCTGACTTTGGACATGTACATTATAGTGCCTCCATTGCTTCAGTATTTGATTGGTACCTGTTGTGGCTCATTCGTTAAAGTGCAGTTTTAGCAACAGGAACCAGTGTAACTGTACTACATGTACCCCATGGGGAAACAAGAAAGCATATTAATATAATTAAAAATGCAGGAATTTTCTTTTCTTTTTGTTTTTCTTGTGGGGTGGGCTGGCACTCGTTTGAAAATGTTTAGCCTATACATGTATGGACCGGAGTTCAGAAAGGGCGCGTGTGCCCGTGACTGAAAATTGCTGAACAGAACAACCGCTATACTGAACATTTTGTGTGGACCCCGTCGTGTTCATTATAGTAACGTTCCACTGTATCGGTATTGAGTTTGACCAGTGTCACCAGAGTAATGGATGAAATTGTCTCGTTAACCATTTGGAACCAGGCTTGTGGTCACAATAGTACCACGGGCTTTCATTGGCAATTTTTGTACAGAGGGAACCAA